CATAGATGAAGTGCTCCCTCCCAGCATACACCCCTATTGCCTTCAGCACTTCCCAGATGACCTCCTCAGAGGCACAGCTGCCCTTTATGAAGATCATACTCAGAATAAGAATCAGGAGGCAGTTCTTGGACCTGCCTTTGTCATCACTACCCTCACCGGTGAGGTCTACTGTGTTTGCAAACACATAGAAGTGGTCAGGGCCCACTTCTATCAGGGCAAGGCCAAAAAGCAGCTTTATGAACTCACCGGCTTTCTCGAGTATCATAGGAAAGTAGTCTTGGTACTTGGTGATGACAACCGTCAGCATCTCTGACTCTGTTATAGGCTCCTTTGTTTGATATTTGAGGAGCAGGAACTCGGCCACCTTTTCACCTAGTGTATATGTGAAAAAGAACTCACTCTCTGGCAGGCCAGGACAGGTACTGGCATCCTCCTCTTTTTGGCTGCTGGACTCTTCATTCATTGGGCTTCATGAAACAGAAGAGGAGCAGGAGCTCAGAGGATTCTGGGGAGGACATTGGGAAGGACCCTGTGGAGGACTCTTGGGAGTGCTCTGGAGAAGACTTGACATCCCAGCAGAGTGCACCTCGTCCTCCTCAGGACCACCAAGAATCAGAGAAGAGGATGAGGAGGAGGAAGAGGAGGAAAATACTAAGTAGAAAGTGGAAGAGGAAATGGAGGCTTCCTCTTCTTCCTCATCTGTGGGATCCTGTGCATCTATCCAATCCTCTATCACAACTGGGTACTGGGAGTCTTCCTCAAAGTTGGGGAACAGAACACTTGGAAAGAGAGGCATAACGACTTCTTCAGGAGCAGCAGGTAAACGTATCAACAGGGATATGGATGATGGGATCCAACAGGCCTGTGGAAGAGAGTGACACTGAGTGACCTCAGCTGATAAACTCACCCATGATGGCTCAGCCGAAGGCAGACTTGCAGCTCCTCTTCTCTTAAGGTAGTGTTCTAGGGCCTCACAGGTCGCCTGTCTTCCTAGAGAGATTGTCCCCTGGGCACCTGTAAGAGGATATGAGAAAGCACCTCAGGGCACAGTTGACAGGCAGAGCCTGAGGCACCAGGAATGACAGTAGGTGGTTAGGGCTCGATGCTGAGGAGTCTCCTCTGTTTGTGGGGGTAGAGCCTTTGCAACAAAGTCAGGGTGTGCACTCACCTTGACTCCTGGCACTTCCTGGGCCTCCCCTGCTCTGCTGACTTTAGGAAGTGCAACTCAGACCCAGGTCTTCACATCCTGGTTCCTGGAGCACCTGCAAGAGGAAGTGAGGGAGCCCCTCAGGCTAAAGACTGCAAGCAGAGCCTTGGACTTCCCAGGGCTGACAGCTTGGGCTGGCCAGAATCGCAGAGCTCCATAGTTCTGGGCTGCTTGGCCCCCTCAGAATTTAATTAGCAACCTCACAGCTTCTCAGACAGGGCCAGACCCCCACCACTCTGCTGGTCTGAGGCAAAACCCCAGAGCAAACTCCACATCCCTGAGAGCAGTGGGAGGTGGTGAGGTGGCAGCCACTTCCCAGCACTCTCCCACAGGGGCGGTCGGGATAGCCTCACGCCTGTTCTGGTGCACATGTGACTCCTCAGTCTTCACTCTTGTCCCCAGCAGAGTCTGGGAATCTTCCCTCTGCCAACCAGAAGCAGTTCCCCTGCTGACTTGCCACAGGACCCCCAGACCAAGGGCCCCCCCTCCCCTCCACCTGTCACCTAGAAATGAGATGGCTGCGGCTCAGCCTGAGCTGACTGGGGAGCTCTAAGAGGGTTGATATGAGGAGCAGGGTGGGAATCTCCGGGAATCTGTCCTCTGAGGTGGGAGTTCCCCGAGTCTCCCTCAAAGTCTTCCTATTTATTCCCTAGAGGGCCGGCACCTCCTCCCTTCTTCTATCATGAGGACCCCTCAGCCCTCGGCAGCCATTTTCCTGTCTGGGACCTACAGGTTCGACGGCAGGGGCAGCACACCTGCCAGGGTTTCTTCTCTCTGTGGTGGGAGGTCCCTCAATTCTTCCTCAGGGCCTTTACCTTGAAGATGGGCCAGGTCTAAGACTTCTCTCTGCTGAACTGAGACGAGCCTCCTCACAAAGTGCCTCAGGTCCTTCAGACTCCCAAGGTGCAAGTTGGGAAAGCACATCCAGGAACCCTGCCGGGCTTGACCAGAGCTGACAGCAGGGGCAGCGAGGGGTGGGGCCTCCTCTCTGTGGAGGAGCCAACCCCTACGTGTCAGTCTCCTTCCACCCTTTCCTGACCACTTTCTGGTCGCCCTCCACCCCTTCCTGCTCACTCCCTAAGCTTTGCTGACCTCTACCTTCTCACCTCCCCAGTCCTTGACACCCTCCTCCCGCCCCTTTTTCCAGGGCTGACAGCAAGGAGTGTCTCTTTGCAGCCTCGGCGTCCCCTCCCTGGTGGGAGGTCATCGTCCTTCCACAGTGTTCTCTTCTTGATTATTGGCCAGTCCTGGGGCTTCTTCCTCTGCTTAACGGAAGCTGCTCTCCTCAGAGAAAACCTCCCCTCTAGTAGCTGACTCCCAAAATGGAAGTCAGAAAGTTGTAAATCTGGGGACCCTGATGGGCTCCTCTAGAGCTGGCAGCAGGCACAGGGACAGGACAGGGAGCACTACCAGTCATGGGTGTTCCCTTCCTGCCTTCCTGAGAGGCTGTGCCTGGATTCCTGATACTGCCTGGGAAGCCTGCCCCTGTGCATCTGAGTCTTTCACCCCCGAATAAGCCCCTCCCTTGCCTGAGACCTGCAAGGTAGAAGAGAGGGAGAATCCCATCCACCTACAGTGGTATAAGACCTCCCATGCCCAACGCAGGGCTCCACTGCCCCTGTCTGAAATGGGGTAGGAAGGCCCCTCAGTCTCCCTCAAAGTATTAGTTCTTACGGGGCCTCCACTTCCTCTCCTGTCCAGACAGCAACATTTGTTCCTTCAGCCACTAAAATGCATTCCAAATGTTTCCACTTTAACTACTGCTGAGTGTGAAGTTAGCATCATCTCTCCCATGGCCTATGTTAAAGGCTTCCTTATTGTTGCTTCTTTTCCTATCCTTGTTCCTGAAAAATCCGTTGTCTTTTCAGCAGCCCATGTTCCTTTTAAAAACCAATATGTGATTATCGTTTTAAATACACACATCAGATTTAACTAGAATGTGAAGTTATATGTGTTTTGGAAAATGCATGGAGTCCCATATCTACCAACCAAGTATCATACTGACCAGTTCCACCTGCCTACAATGCTCCTGTGCATCCCGTTTGATGTCAATCAGTGCACTCTACTAAGCTCCTAGTGAGGAAAGAGGGAGACCCTCTCATATTGTTTTATATGGTTTTATACTCAGTACCTATTTTAACAAAAAACAAGGAAGTAAAACCAAAGATAGGCAGCCCAGCGCCAGGCCCGAAACCAGGCCTGGGCCTGCCTGGCCTAAACCCAGTAGTTAAAAATCAACTCGTAACTTAGAAACCGATGTGATTCATAGATTCCAGACATTGTATAGGACACTGTGAAACTTCCTGCCCTGTTCTCTTTCTCTGTGACCACCGGGTGAATGCGGCCCCTGTCACGTACCGCCTGCTTGCTCAATCACGACGCTTTCATGTGAAATCTTTAGTGTTGTGAGCCCTTAAAAGGGGCAGAAATTGTGCACTGGGGGAGCTGGGATTTTAAGGCAGTAGCTTGCCGATGCTCCCAGCTGTCTAAAGCCCTTCCTTCTACAACTCGGTATCTGAGAGGTTTTGTCTGCGGCTCATCCTGCTACACTAGCGACTCTCTTCTGTTTGTAGTTCCTGGAGTTTTAACTTTTCCGATTTGTCATATGACTAGGTTATAAGATACTGACTTAAAAGTGTGCCTGTACTCTTTTTTTTTTTTATCACAACTATCAAGGAATGAGAATTTCTGTTATTCTATAGCCTCTCTTACATTTAGTATTTTAGATTTTCAGGTTTTAGCCATTCTCATAAGCATGTATTGGAATCTTCTTTGGTTTTTGTTTGCATCTCCCTAATGACATATGAAATTTGTCATCTTTTTATGTGCTTTTTTTCCCATTGGTATACCCCCTTAATAAAGTGTCTATTCAAATCATTTGCATCTTTTTATAGATGAAAAAAACTTCATTTTTAGAGCATTGCTAATCCAAAAATACAAAGAGAAAACCTCATCAGAATTAGAGTTCCTACGTATCTACACCACCCACCCTGCCCTGCTTGCTGCACACACACACACAGTGTCTCTTTTGATTTATATTTTGTATTATTATGACATGTTTGCTACAACTGATGAACTTGTATTACCTCATTATTAAGTCCATGGTTTACGTCAGGACTCACTCTTAACGCTGAGGATACTATATATTTTGATAAGGGTGTAACGGCAAGTATTCATCATTATAGTATTACACAGATTGTTTTACCATCCTGGTTCTCTTCTGTGTTCCACCTAATTATCAATCCCCTGTGCACCAACCCCAACACTCAGCCCCTGGAAACCAGTAATATTTTAGTGTATTCTTTGTTGCCTGTTTCAGAATATGGTATCATTGAAATCGTACATTATGTAGCCCTTTTAGAATTTTCTTCTTTCACTTAGCAATAGGCTTTCATGATACCTCCAGGTCTATCCCAAACAACGACTGAAAGTTCCTGTTGCTCAACATGCATGTCGACATTGGATGTTGCAGTGTTTGGGAATTCAGCCATTCTCCTGGGGATCGAGTGCTATCTCCTAGTTGTTTTAACTTGTGTATCTGTAATGACATAGGACATTCGACAGTGTTATGTGCTTATTTTCCATTTGTATATATTTTTGCTGGCGTATCTTTTCAGATTATCTTGCCCATTTTATATTCGGTTTTCTTTTTTCTCATGATTGGATTTGCAGAGTTTTGTGACTTTC